ACCAGATTAATATAATGGTTCCTCATGGCTGTCAAATGTAGGAAGGGAGGAGAAGTGGAAGAGCTGCAGAGTGTCACCCTGTGCCCTAGGAATCTCTGGCTGTTGCAGTGTCCAGGGAAGAAGTTACTGGTAGTCAAAGGAGACAGTAGCCTTCAAGACTGGTATAGTCCTAAACCGGCCAACAGTCCAATAAAAGGAAATGTTCCCGCCACTCTCCATCTCAAGTTGCATTGATCACTAATCAACCTCAACTCACAATTTGGCACGTAGAATTCACAAAATACACCGTTTTATAATTCCAAGTTAAACCACCATCCTTCAAATGCACCATCATCACGTGGCTAAGTAAAAAAGCAGGGTCTTTTATGTAAGTGAACAAGATACAAAGGGGGAACAACTGTTCCAAAACCTTCAACCAGGTTCAGCTCTGTTGTGACAAGGAAAGCAGCCTCTGACAAAACATAAAGGAGACTTACAGGAAAATGTGAGAAACACTTTGCCTTTATTGGCGCTGCTTGAAACAAGAACAGGCATTAACAGGCAAGGAGCTTAAGGAACCTCACTCATGATCCTTTGCCAGCCTTTCCTACAAAGTGTTGCCATGTTGGGATTTGTACTAGAAAATATTCAAAGGCAAACAATGAAAGAGACAAGGGGAAGGGTGAGAGTCTAGATTACATTAGAATATTATGTTCAGTAAAAAAAAAAAAGAAAAGATTTGCTTAGTTGTATCGATCACCCTGCATTTTGTTTCCCACCTGTTTGCTCCCATGCTCCACATTGCCTACTCTATCTACAATATTACCACAGACCTCACCAGTCGGTTCATCCATTTTATTCATAATAATTAAAGAGAGACACTGGATTTGCATTCAAAGATCCTACAGAATGGGGATAAGTAATTTTATATTTAAATCTTAAATTTAAATATTTAAAGTCAAATATTGTTCATTGTTTCATTATCACCACCAGCAGGGGAAAGGGAAAGCAATTAGATTTTTTTTTGCCTGGGCTGGTAATTTTTCATAATAGTTTTGCCAGGCTAAGTTAAATCAATGCTTCCCAGATGAATCTCTGTTTATCAGACTAACACCTCGGGCTATACCAGCCAGTACTGAGTACTTTCCATTGAGTCATACTCACACAAATTTATGATGGAGATAAAGCTGTTCTAAACCATAGTCTTTCCCAAGAGCCATGGAAGGAAAAAGCACAAGTAACTAATGTAAGCAGTACAGTGGTATATTCTAGATCCCAGCACAGGGGCTCAGCTTTGAAAGACAGGATAGGGAAGAGTGAAGAACTCATGAGCTAGAGCCTGTTAATTCTTCCTTTTCATTTAAAAAATTTGAAATGAAAACTTCATAATTTTACAACAAGGAAGCAAAATTCAACACCTGGAAACACAGGTGGAGGAAGAAAAAAAAATTTGGGGGGGCTGAGTGTGTACACATGTGCACGTGCCCCCCCCCTTCCCAGGGGGGAAAGTCTGTGGCAGAAGGGGCGAGAGGAGGGGAAAGGGCTGCGGGGGGAGGGGGAGAAGGGGGGAGCCACACCTCTCAACGAGCTTCTTGGGGCTCAGTCCGGCGCTCTGCTATGAGCATCTGCCCCTCCCCCAGCCCTAGCCCCACTCCCTCCCTCACCACTGCCTGAGCACCCCTCTCCACCTCTGCTGCAGCCACCAGAAGCCTGCGGCCAGGCTGCCTTGTGGCCCTACCACTGCCCCACATTTGGGGTGGCTAAGCCACGTTAGTCCCCCCTTCCACAGCCTATGCCTGGAAACCTGAAAGCTGACACCCTTGCTCCTGCCTTTTGTTTGGAGCCAAATTTGCATGTTCACAGAGCTGCCTCAACCCAAAGAGAAACTCCTTGCCCAGAAGAGCCTTCCATCACCCCATCTGCCTGTGAAATATGAAATATCATAACCAGAAGGAAGCATAATTCAACATCCTGCTTGCCATCCAACACCTTCGAAGTAAACAGACTGCTCTTTTATCTGATCCTAATTTGCACAAAATTAACTTTTCCAACCCCTAGATCTTACAACACCTTCAGCTTTCCTGTGAAATATGAATTTTCATTTCCACCTAGGAGAAATTTTACTATCTTTGCATTCTCCTATGCCTAAAGAAGGGTAAGTGTCCAAAAGCTTGCAGACAGAAATTTTTTTGCAACTATCTATTTGGTCTAATAAAAAGTATCACCTCTACCACAAGTTCTGATTGCTTTTCATTTGAAAATCTTTAATACGACAGTTCTCAAAGTACGCGTGACAATACCAATGCTCAGATTTTTGTGAGTTGTACTATCAAGAGCAATTTGGAAAGCACTTAATTAGAGGTTACTTCATAAACTCAAAGTTCAAATCAGACAGTATATAGCTTTCTCCCCACTGTGCAGGAAAAATGATTGCTGAGGAGACCATACAGTGAAGACAAAACTATTTAGGCAATACTACATTATGGTCCTGAAGTAAAGAAAAGGAGTGTTGTGTACTGATTATAATGGGAGTTGAACAGAAAAAATGGGAAACTGCAAGATGACACCACATTGTGCTGGAAGAGAAGGCATTAGCATGAACAGAAAAGGGGAAAAAATGGACAAATGGCAGGCTGGAGTAAAGACAGGAATAGCCATACAGCATTGTTTATAGGTTAGGTAATATGGCAACTCTCTCTCATTGAGGGACAACTCACTATGAACACTCATGCGAGTTAGGATTTTATCTTATGAGATTACTTACACAAGCAATTTTAAAATCAGAATATTTTTAACAGGATAGGCCAAATGCTGCCCTCAGATGTCCTACAACCAGTGAATGTGTTTGTACCACATGGAAACAAGATGCACATATCCTATAACAGAATTTGGTCCTACCTGACACTTCAAAAAGGAGCAGTTATTAGGCTTGTGTGTTATATATGGCAATTTTTTCTGGGCTTGCAGTTATAGCATGTGTTGCTTAGTAGAGCAAAATGAAAAATTTTGACTGGAATGTGGTGACAGAGAATTCGATATTTTACAAATAAACTCATTAAAATGTTTGTTCTCACAATTGTTTTTCCCTAGATAATTAGAAATCTCAGAAAAATAAGAAAAAAAGTTTTTAACTGGAAAAAAGCAGCTTTTGTTTTTCTCTATGAAAAAGAAATATTTTCTACAGAGAAAACTTCTATTTTAAACTGGTTCTACTGCTTACACCAACTAATTTACTGCTTATGCCTCCAATGCTTACTGCACAAGAACAGGTTTTATATTTGCAGAGTGCCAACCACAACGGGTTGGCCCAGAGGCACTACTAAAACGAATCAATCAATAACCAAGTTCACAAAATTCTTCTAGAGAGCTCAGGATACTTTGCAACTATTGTCTCAGGTGCTCAAGCTTGGCACATCTTTGCGCATCCCCCATCTTTAATGTTTTTTACACTGTTATGTGCCTTTTTCATTCCACATTATGTAGTTGGAAAAGGGGACTAGAGAGACCTTAAGAGAGTGGAAGTCAGTCCTCCTATGACTTCAGTGGGAACAGCTGACACTGAACACTTGAAAAATCAGGATACCAATGTAAGCACTGAAGGATTAAAGAGGCTAACTTCAAGCACCCAGATTTGAAAAACTTAGTTCCACAGTTCTGTACAGCAGATATACACTGAACTGTGATGTCTAGATTAGAACTTCAGTCTTTACATGTATTTTTATAGACGTGGACATTAGGGCTGGAAAGGACCTCATAAGATTTTTGTTTCAGAACAGTTAAACACAGCATTCTTACTTTTATTAATAAGATTACTAAAGTAGTACATGGGAGAAAAATAAAGGCAAAGTATTTATTAAAAGTGACTATATGATATTTGGCATCTTGGTATTTTAGGAATTTTTCTATTACTGCAAAATGTTACCGGTTACTGTATACTGTTGCTTAAAAGCTGTGTCACTAAATGCAGTTTCAAAATCTGGCCACCTATTTGACTATTTTGACAAAGTTGTAGGAGTCTAAGTTAAGTACTATATTTTCTCTCAGTCAACTTTTCCCCTAAAAATCAGGTCCTGGAAATCATTGTGCATTGTATGCAAGAAATACACTACATGCAGGTTCTGCTACTTACTGTTGAAACCAAAAGTAAAATCTACAGCAATCCACAGGGAGCAGAACCGTGAACAGACTTGCCTCCCTGGGTGTTCCTACTCAAGTTACTTGCTACAAGATTTTTTTTTCTTCATTCCACCTTGCAAAAAACAAGGTGCATATTATTTTGCAGGGCTTGCTGTATCTGAGAAAATATGGTGTTTACTTTTAAAAATTTCAGACTGGGTGCATTAACTACATCATGTGCTTTGAATTACCACCCCAAGAGTGACCATAAGCAAGTATCTGAAAAAACTATCCCTCTTCCTTCTTGGGAAAAAGTAATAGTAGTTCTGATAATTTCTGTTCTCAAACACTTAGCAGTTTAAACATGCAAGGTTAGTGTAGTGTATGACAGAATAAAATAATCCAGCAGATTTTAATTTTATTAACAGGATGGACTTTCATTTAGTCCCAGAAAAATAGCTAGTACCTTATTATGTCAGCCACAGGTTTACACCAATCTGCTAACACAGGGGTGGCTAGCTTGCAGCATGCATGCCACAAGTGGCACAGGCAACCTGTGTGTGGCATGCAGCAAATCAGGGAGGGGACAGGCAGCAGAAAGCAGTGCAGCACATGGGGCAGGGAAAGGGGGTTGGAATGGCACTCAGGGAGAGTGCTGAACTAACGTGTGGCACACCTGCCAAAAAGTTTGGCCCCAGTTGTGCTAACACATTCTATATAAGAGTTCCACATACAACATTTGCAGTCACCTTGTTAAATAATTAGCAAACTTACCCGGACTTGAGGGTACGATTTTTTGTTCTTTTCACTAGAAGCACCAGGAAGTCCACCATGTGATGGCCCTTCACATACATATCGGAAACGAAATCCCCTCTGTGAAAATTAAACACAAAAACATTAAATACCTGGTTGAAAGAAAAAAAAAATCCATGCACCAAGTGTCATGTGTCCACCCCTGCAACTATCCACAAATGGAGAAGTGAAAGCCTGTAATTGCTGAGGCTGTCCCTGGAAACATTTTATCTAGATACCCAAAGCTACAGGTAAGTGTGGTATATGTTGAACATTTTTATTCCCTTGTGCATGCATATCAGCAGTAAGAATCTATTCATCCAGTGCCAGCATGAACAGATTTGTGGGCATGGATCCTGCTACACCCAAGAAACAAGTCAAAAAGTAGAAAGAATAATAGAGCAAATCCGCATAAAACATAACAGCAACTGAAGTGGTAGAGAGGAATAGGGGAACAGGTGACAAGACCCAGGCAAGTATCAACTAGGGGAGTAGTGGGCAATTATTTTGGGTGGAGGGCTGCTTACCAAGTTTTGGCAAGCTGTTGAGGGCCACATGGGTAGCCCCGCCCCCTGGTTATCATCTTGTGACTGGAAGTCCTGCCCCCTAAAGTTTGCCACCAGAAGTCCCTCCTCTTGCCCCCAGAAGTACTCCTTTCAGCAAAGGGTTTTGCCATCTTGGAACCAGAAAAATACCAAATTATATTTTAAAAGAAAACATCTACAACATTAATTAATTTGATTTCCAAAAATATTTTTGTCCTGATTTACAAGTGTTTGTGTAGTGTACGTAGAGGTGATTGCACAATAGCTTAAAATGAAGTCTTACTTTTATATGTTGTGGGGCGTGGGTATAGGTTTGTGGGGATCCAGGGGTGTGCAAGTATGCTGGGGAGGGTATAGATGCGTCTGTGGGGGTGGACTGGTGTGGGTATGGGGTGAGGGAGCATGTGGGTGTGTGTGTAAATAGGTGGGGTGTGGGTGGATATGGGGTTTGTGGGGGGCTGTGTATGGGGGTCTGCGTGTATGGCAGTGGAAACAGGGAGTGGATGCATATGTATGATGAAGTGTGCATGTGGGACTCACCCTACACACACACACATATACAGCCTCTGCCCCTGCCTACACACACACACACACGCACGCGCTGCCCCTGCCTACACAAACACCCCTCCCACTTCTGGCCCCAGGGTACCAGCACAGCCCATGCTCCCCAGTCCAGTGATGCAGCCTGGGACCACATTTTGCTGGAGCAGTGCACAGGCAGGAAGACAGGGAAATGGCTGGGATTGGGGTGGGGTGGAGCTGGGCTGTTTTGTTCTGCTGGCTCCCCCTGGGTCCTACTGCCCCTGGTTCCTGTCATCTTTGATTGGCAGCCAGGAGCAAATAAATATTAATTTACTAAAATTTTTAGAGGCCCTGTGGGCCAGATAGAATGGCCTGACAGGCTGGATTCAGCCCACAGGCCATATTATGCCCACCCCTGAACTAGGGGCAGTGAAAAATAGCTCCTTCTTTCTTCCTGGGGAGATGGTGGCAGTCCCTGAGCAGAACTAAGGAACTGTAGAAATGCAGAAATCCCAGCACTCTGCCAATTCTCTGATTTTATATATTTATTCCCAGAGGAAATATATATATAGTGTATTTCCTATGGAATCACATATAGTGTGTGAATATATTTATGTAGTACAAATAGAACAGTACAAATGCAGAGATCCCAGCATCCTGCCAATTCCCTGATATAGATAGAGAGATCTCTCTCTCTCTTTCTGGGGATCCTTACATGATTAGCAACTAATTTAAAAGGTACAACTGTACATTTATTAAATAGTTTTTAACAGAAAATATCATAGACTTAAAGATATGGGAGGGTTATCTAAATGTAACAGGAGACACAGCCAGTGAGCAAAGATATATTGTTAACATAGCTAATTAAGCTGTCTAAATATATTAGTGGAGAAACTATTTAAAATGCTTAAATGCCATAAAGTTTCCATTAAAAATCCTTCTATGAGCTCTTAGCCTTTATTTCTTCAATTACTTTTTTCTGTAAAAGAAGTGCACATATTGGGAAAGCTACATAAAATAATCTGTTTTACGCGCACACACATATTAGAAGTAAGGAATAAGGAAAAAATGGCACTCTTTGCCTGGGAACCTTGAAGGCACATAGTAGTTAACACTAAAAACTGATAATTTATGCAATAATAAATGCTACTCCAATTCTGTGGTTAAGAAAACACACACCAGCACAGATGAAGCTGTCTAATCTAATAGGTTTAATGGGATTTTATTCTGGCCAAAAAACCCAAAACAAAACAAAACAAAAATTACAAAGCAAATGGTGCTAAGTAACTGTTACAATCTCAAATACGGGAGATGATGAAACCTAAAAAATGAAAGCTGGACTGGGGTCTGGGAAAGAGGACCTAACCTTTTTTTTCCTACTCTCACATCTAACTGCAAATAGGAATCACTCTAATGCTTTCAGACAGGGAGGTTTCCCTCCTTAGGCAACAGTGCTGCACCAGATCACACAGCCACAGAGACCCGCTTTTTTCAGTTAGACTCCTGCACATGCAAGAGTCTGCCAGAGTGGAGTAGAGGGCTGCAGCTGACTCAGACAAATCTTTCATGGCATGATAAGTTTGCTTATATTTGACACCAGGTTTCTCTGAATTTAAGCGTTGGTCAGCCCACAGCTGGTCATGCTTGCTCACACAGTTACTCTCCAAATGACTAATCAAAGTGCCGGCAGCATCTATTCTGCCAAAGTCTTTTCCGTTTAAATACCTGTCCCTCATGAAAATAACACAGTTTAACTTTCACTCAAATACCCGCAGAAAAAACAGCAGTAACCAGGGCATGCTAAGAGCCAAATCCTTTACCACCTCTTATGGGCCTAAGCAGACTTAAGCACATAGGTGTAATCCTACTCCGTCCTGTCCGAGTTCCTGAAAAGCTGTTACCACATCTACCTTTGTAACATGCCATCACCTTATCCTTAAGATTGAGTCATAAAAAGCAGCAAGTGGAAGGAGGACCTATCTACCTGTTGAGCTGTTTCTTCAGGGACTTGAGCAGGGTGGAAGATCATGGCGCGTCCAGACATGTGCAGCCACATGGTATGTGGTAGAGCTGTGTAAAATTTTGATGGGAGTTTCATTTCAAAGCTGTTTTGACATGTTTCAAGCTCAAAACAGCAACATTGAAATGAAACAAAAGGGTTCAAAACAGCTTCAAAACAAAACAAGGACACTTGAAATGTTTCAAAACATTTTGAGTTTCAAAGCTGGGCTTGCTGCAGCTAAACAGAAACTAAGGTGAGGGGGGGGACGGACTGCTCTCTGATATTGACATCTAGCTCTCTGTTCGATTTCCCAGCTCTCTGATCACTTCCCTCAGCTCTTCCCAGGGGGTGCGGGCCCCTGATCTGCACACACGGTTTCAGCAGCAGCCTGCTGAAACTGTAGGGGCAGCCTGCTGAAACCCAATGCAGACATCCAGGGGCCCATGCCCCCCAGGAAGAGCTGGGGAAAGTGATCAGAGAGCTGGGGAATTGAACAGGGGGTTGGGTGAATGTTGGATGGGGGCCTGAGCCAGACTCTTCCCAGGGGGCCCGAGCTCCCGGATCTGCGCGTGGGATGACAGCAGGCTGCCACTGCCGGCTGGGACCAGCGCCAGCACGGGGTTCTTCTCCACACTCAGCGTTCTTCCTGCCAGTGATCCCAGCCGGCAGCGGCAGCCTGCTGTCATCCCGCGTGCAGATCCGGGGGCCCGCGCCACCCAGGAAGAGTCTGGCACAGACCTGCAGCCCTCCCGGGGGGCATGGGCCCCCAGATCTGTGCACATGCTTATATGAATTTTCTGACTTGACCCATGTGCTAATCTTTGCAGTGCTAACAAGATGACCACAAACACAACACTTGGCCATAGGGAGAACTGCAATAAAACACAGCACCCTTCTCCTGGGTTGGGAGGTGGTTTTCATCCCCAGCATCTCCCACAAACTTCACCAGCACCAAGTAGAACCAAAAGATGAAATCCATGTTAACAGAGTTGCATACTTGCACAAAAATTACATTTAAAGTTTGATTTAATTAACTTCTGGTCTATAGTCCAATGGTTTTCAACCTTTTTTCATCTTCAGATCCCTACAAAATTTCATAAGAAGGTGTGGACCCCTTTGAACTGTAAGCATGGGTATTCACATACTTTTGATTGATTATAGTAATCTTCCATGAACCCCTTAGACATAGTCCATGGACCCAGGTTGAAAGCCACTGATTTAGTCAAATGTTGCCAGGAGTCTGACAAAAGAAAATACTTCACGGTTCAAAAATACCTCAAGTGCCATATACCAATTCTTAGGACTAGAGGTCATAAGTTAAAATTTCTGTGAGGGTTTTGAAAGCAGTGTGAGGAGAAGCTATTATTTTTGTTATTTTTAAATTTAATTTTAACAAGAAATGTGAAAAACAACAAATTTCCTATTAATATTTTATCTATCCACTTATGAAAATATCCCATTGTTAGAAACATATTCACAACTTTTAAGGCTCATTTCTAAGTAGATGTGAATTCTAGGTCTACTAAAATACATTTAAAATCGATCCCAGGGTTTTTTTTAAAATTTAGGTGAGAGCTTCTAAATAGAGGTCTAGAGATGGGAACACAACAAAACAGGAAACAGATTTTGTACAAGAGTGAGAAAAAGTTCCTAATAATGAAATGCATGTGTTATTAGTTCAAAATAACTTCATCTCATATTATGACTTCTTTCAGACCAGAGTATACTGAAATAGTTACTCAAAAGATTTTGAAAATGCAGTGTTCCTCTTACCTGTTTAGGCTGTTCTATGATTTGTAAGTATGGTCCATCTGCTAATATAAAGAAAGAATAATCAATGCAAATTGGCTCATATGGCCAATTATTAAAATTAAAATTTTAATATTGTTTATCAGAGCACATAATAACAGAGAACCAAATGATAAAGATCTAGTGTCTACTGCAAAGAGAGTGGTATATTGGGTAGAGTGCCAGCACTTGAGTATTCCCCCTGTCAAGAAAGGAGCCAATTCCAAAAAGTCTAGCTGAGCCTACCAGGACACCCAAAATCATCAAAATGAGGTAGGACAGAAGAATATGGTAGACCCTACAGGTATGGGGCAAAGCTAAAAACTATCCTATTTTTTTAACTTTCCACATTTACTCAAGTTCAAGATGAGGTTTTTTCCTCCACTCAACATGGGGAAAAACCCCCACTCATCTTAGATTTGAGTACTGCCCTCGACAGGCAGCTTCTGTGGCTCCTGCTCCTGAGGGTAGGGGGAAGTACAGGCAGGCAAGGGGGAGACCATGAAGGGTGTAAGTGAGGGTGTATGGTGCAAGGGGGGAGCAGGTGTATGGAGAAGACCACATGGTGCAAGGCTGAACTGTGGCACAAATTGTGCGGTGGCAGAGGAGCTACTGCAGCTTCAGCTGTGACACTGACAGGCCCAAAGCCAGAGCTCCAGCTGCCACTGCTGCCGGACCAGATGTTGGGGCCAGGTCCAGAGTCATCCCACAAGCAGCTTGAGGGTGGTGGGGGGAGGACACCGACATCAGGGGCAAGAAGACCACAAGCTGGGCCACAGGGGAAACTGCAATAAAACTTAGCACAGCAGGGTGAACTCGGCTTTCCCTCATTTGTATTGGTGGCTGGAAAAGGAGTAATAATTTTGGTTTAATACAGTAAATCTCCTTTCAAAACAAAAACCTTGATAAATACTATTGGCAGACATATTAAGAACACTTCTTTATTTGCTAGGATTGGTTGATTCAGCAGTTACCTTCATGCCACCTTTAAATTACAACAGTCAGCAATGACAATTTTGAATGTAAATACCCACTTATGCAAAGGGACAGGCAGTTGTAAAATAACCAATAAGAGAAAAACCTAAAAACTAAAGAAACCCAACCCTCCCCCCTTATGTGTTTTTAAATGATTGCTCAGATACTCAAAGATTATATATAAAGAAACATTTTGTTTACATTCTAGAACACTGTTTTTCAAATCTCCTAAATTCACGGAAACCTTTCACATCACTTCTGTCACAGAACCTTTACGCCATCCTAAAGACTGATGTGGAGCCAAGTGACCTGGCCTGGCAATGGTGGCGCATTACCTCCCAGCCTATTCTGCCAATGCCCCCAGTCTCTTTGAGGAATCCCTGATGAACTATTGTGGAGGAATCCCCAAGGTTCTGCAGAACACAGTTTGAAAACTACTGTCGTGGAATATAATAGAATATTTTTGTCTCTGAACATTTACCAGCTACAGAGTAATCTGTTGTTTTACTTTTTCCCTGCTAGCAGAGGGACCCTCTGACCCAGACTGAATAAAGGGACTTGAGTGCCTCCAAGTCCAAAATTGCATTGTTCAAAACCCCTGCTTCACCACTACCTGAGCTGCAGGCACCGAAGTTTTCAACACTGAAGTTCTTCTAATGCCTAACATTCTGTTTTGGATGGATGGAAGCGCCTCAGTTTTCACAAGGCTCTGCAGTAGGGGCATGCGAAACAGGCCGTATTCAATTTGGATTCGGCTCAATTCAGGGGACAGTGATTCAATTTGTTAATTCGGGTCACTGTTCTGATTCGATTAAGCCAAATCCAAATCTGAAGATTCAGTGCTGATTCACGGAATCAGTGATTCGGCCATAGACACAGCTTTAAATGTTTTTTCTGCATACCTCGAGGTACCAGGTGTGGCTCATGAATGCTGAGATGGTAGGGTGGATGGAGTGTCCCACAGGAGTACAGCCCCCTCCCCCTCCCCCCTGCATGCTTGGCGGTGGACCTGGATGTGGACCGGAAGTACTTCCAGTCCACTTCGGGGTCCGCTGCTGAGCTCACAGGGGACCCCCTGCCTTGGCTTGGTGATCAGCCACAGTGGGACCCTGGGTATCCCCCCAGACCCAGGAGGTACCAGACACTGAGCTGGGGGGCAGAAAGGAGGCCTCCACGCATTCTGCAGTGGACCCAGAAATCAACCAGAAGTGCTTCTGGTCCACTTCCGGGTCCTCCACCAAGTGCGCTGGGGGCCTCCCCCATGCTCCCGTGGGATGCTTCATCCACCCCACCATCTCAGTGTTCACGAGCCACCTGGTACCTTGAGGCATGTAGAAAAAACATTTAAAAGTTATGTCTACATCCAAATCATCAATCTCTCTGAATTGATATGAAAGGTTTCGATTTGATTTGAAGAGATTAAAGGGTCTCCTGATTCGATTTGGATTTGGAGATTTGGCTGCCAAATTGGGCCGAATCTCCACCAAATCAAATCAGTGACTGCAGCTTTGCACAGCCCTACTGTGCAGCTCAATGTCTGTCATGTTTTTGCCTCAACAATATCCAGACAAGGTGTTCCTCTACCTCCTCCCCTGCCCCCAAGCCTTGCTCTGTCAACATACCAATCTGATTATATTATACAAAATGCTACTGCTGCTGTTTTCTTTTTTAAAGACAGACAGAAGAGGTTGGGCCCTCTCTTTTAGCCAACAGATTAGTGACTAAAGGATTTACTCAGAGTTTGAGAGACTCAGTTGCAGATCTCTCCTATTTCTGAGGAAATTCAAACCCACATCTGTCTCCTCCTGATCACCAGTCCATAAATTATTCTGTGGTGTGATAAGAGATGGCACATTCTCAATCCCTCCCGTTGAAGCTGTTCCACTTTGCACAGAAAAATCAAAGAGTCTGGGTCAGAAACAATACAGGTGCTCAAATCACTCAGAAGTCTAGTGGTTAGAGCACTCACCAGGGGGAAAAAGGAGTCCCTGCTCCAAGGACTGTTTATATATTTTAACAGGAGGATTATGTATGTGATGCGATGAAAAATGCTACACAGTTCAATTAAAGCTAGCTCTGATGTCTCTATCCTGGGTACCAGAAGCAGTGTAGCTAGGCTAATGCAGTGCCCATTCACATATTAAATATACTCAGCTCTGTGCCATGTAAGCTTAATCAAGGACATAAAAATCACCCCTTGAAGCAAAATTCAGGATTTCACTCACCCTGGTGCATAGTCTTAATGGTAGCCTAGTCTGGTAGGCTAGTCAGTTATGCTTGCTCTTAATCCTATTATGTGGTCCAATAAAGTGTTCATTATTCCACACAGAGTGGAACAGCTTTAACTAGAAGGAGTAAGTCCCTTTTTGGATCAGGGACTATGTTTGTGCACCATTATATAAATATATAGAAACTACTGAATTGCCCATCAAGAATGACTGGGGGGAAAAGGGGGAGAGGCAGGTGAGGAAGGAGCACCCCACCACACACACACCACTGCCACTTCCCGGGAGCGGGTGGGGGAGGGGAGCTTGCCCTGCCATCCCTTCCATCCCCCTCTGTCAGCACTCCATACTGCCACCAGTGCCGCTGGCCTTGCCCCACTGCTCCATCCCCTCCATCATGGCGGCACTGCACTCTCTGATTGGTTGTTTCACTAACCAGAGTGCTCCAAGAGCATATTATGGACAGACAGACAGACTAAGCCCTTTATTATATAATAATTGAACACAACTTGATATGCCTCAGAGTAATACTGAGAGTGAAACTGAAAAGAAACTATTAGAAATGTAGAAAGGTTAAGATGATGATCTGTCAGCGTTCAGTCTCTTCTGTATGGCTCTAAATGGGCTTCATTTTCTTACACAAAATCCAACTCTTGTCTATACTTTTTGTGACTAAACCTTTTAATTGGATGCAAAATAAATCTCTGATACGCTGACATGTGGAGAGGATCACTTATGATGCGTTTCAATTAAACTGTGCATAATCTTCAGACACATAAAAGACTGTTGTACTAGATGGACCAAAATAAAAATAACGGCACAAACAAGTAATTCTGATGTAATATAATTACATCATTTAAAAACAATGTTAGCTGATTGACAAACATTAATGCCCTAGATGCGTTCATTTGAATACCTAAAAGGATTCCTTGTGGGTTCTTACAAAACTCTTATCATCATAGTGTCTGTGTTCTTTCCAGAGATAAATGAAACCATGCCTAACATCTGTTTTGTGCAGGTCATTGTTTCTCTTATTAACTCCCGTGGGAGACTGTGCAAAGCTGTGAAATATTTTAAGAAAGATTTTTCTTGTTTTGGCCTGTTTGTTTATGTATACATACAAATGCTGGTCTAAGTTTATACTAGGGAAGGTATAACAGTAGGCACATGCCTTACTCTTGCAACTAATACTGGAAAGGTTTGCGATAGCCCGTATTTCCTTCATTCTGGAGCCTAACATCAGCCTCCAAGGAAGCTCTTTTTGCTGTACATTCTCTTTCAAAAACAAATCGCTTTTAAATGTTAATCAACCACCCTCCCCCCAAATATAAACATCTCAGCCTTTTTTTTGCCAGACCGCACTTCCAAAACATACATCAGCAGATACTACCCAGAATACTAGGCTGGGCAAATTCATTCCCCATTCAGAAAGCCTCAGAAGCCTTTTTTTGCACCACTTAAGATCTACTTCAGCCCTACTCTGAGAGATTAAACAGCATACAGTCATTGTGCTGCTCCCAACCCCGGAACAAATTTAACTCTTAAATGAACTCCTTGTGAAGCATTCCTGCTGTACAAGGGACGTGCTTTGTTTTAAGTCAACAATCAGCTAAACTGGATGGAGTTTGATCTGATGCATCTTGATTTTGAGCCTGATTAGCTCTATAGCTTCTCTTTCTGCTTTATCACCTCACATCCCACTGCCTCCCCTCCTGCCTGAGTCACAGTCCCACTTCCTCACACCTTCTTCAACTGCTGTGTTTCTTCACTTTCCTTCCTCCTCTCACTCTTGAGTCAGACTCTCATGTTTCTTGTCACCTCCCACT